ATCAGTTCTTCATGGCTCCAGTGGGAGCAGGGCCTGAGCAAGAGGTTAGTCAGGGCTGTCCATGGAGGTCCCACAGACAGAGAGGTGTGGCTGCAGCCTCAGCCTGGGTGTCTGGAGAGGAGAACAACCCCCAGCACCAAGAGGCAGGGTTGGGGGGATATCTGTCCTGTAGGGACCACAGAAGCAATCGAGGGTGCAGGTCCAGGAGCAGCTCTGGGGTGCCCCAGGGAGCAGGGCTGAGGGCACTGTGGGGCCTCAAAACACGCAGTGCAGCTGTTAGTGGAGCATCACCCCCCAGAGCCTTGTGGAGAGGGCTGGGGTTGGATGGGATGCCTCAGGGGGATCTCCTCCAGCCCAGGGACTTGTATCCAAAGCCCCTGCCTGAGCCCTGGAACTCGATCCAAGGCACTTTATTTCTCTCCTTCTTTGAAAAGAAGTGACCAGGCCAGGCTGGGTAGGGCAAGCCTAGAGTGAGTGGCCATGTTTGAGCCCTGTTCTGGCTGCCAGTAGCTGCCCTCTGAGCTCTCTTCTCTGAGCTCTCAGCCTTGGTGGAGAGCCTGAGTGGGCATGGTCCTGAGGAGGTGCCTGGTAGGTGGCTGGAAGAGGTGGCCCAAGCCAGTAGGGTTGGAGTAGGGGATCAATCTTGGGCCTCAGGCATACACACAGAGGTCTGGAGAAGACCAGAACCAGCTCTTTGGATAAAAAAGACCTGCTGTCTACTCAGGTCTACCTCCAGACAGCAGTGTACAGTCTGACCTACCACTGGGGCCCTCATGCTGGGCTCCCCAGAGTGTTCCTGGATGCTGTTGGCTCCCCCATCCATTCCTTTAGGAATCCAGTCCTGTCCTCAGCAGCAAAGGCTTTGAGACCATCTCATTCATTCATTCATTTTTTTTCTTTCATTCTGAGTCTGGGTGAGACTCGGGGGGGGCCACAATATTTGGCTGAAGGGGTTGCACAAGATGACCCTAGAGGGTGCTCCAGCCCAGGCCACGTAGGTCTGATCCATCTTCCCCAAAATAGGCCTGGCTTGTCCTGCCTGGCCCTCCTGTCCCCAGGAGTCTGCCAGGAAGTTATGTCTGGTCAACTGATTTATAATAGGAAGCAGCTCCATCCCCTTCCCTGAGGCTGGGGCCAAGGTGGTCAGACTGTGGGGGCCTTAGAAAAATAAACTCAGTCCAGCTGGGTCCTGGCAGCCCTGCCCTGCCATGGCCATCACTAGACAGGCCAGCTCCATGCTCTGGCCCAGCTCGCGTGGGCGCAGCTGCCCTCGGCTGGAAAACGGCTCCTGGAATAACTCTGTCTGAGGTGAACGCCCCAGGGCAGAAGGTCTGTGCCCTCTCACCCGCTCTTGCAGCCAGGAGCCCAGGCTTGTCCTCAGGGAGGTTGAGGAGGATGCAGCCACGTCCTCCGGTGTCTGAGGCAGCTCTGTTCTCAAGAGCCTGGGAAGGAAAAACTAGGATGCACTAGGAGTCCAGAAGCGTGACTGGAAGCACAGGATAGCCTCCAGGAAGCTGGAGCTGGAGCCATGGGGCAGCCCTCTGCCCTGCCCTCCGGGAACTCTCAGTCTAGTCAGAAGGACCCTCAGGACCAGGACCAGCAATGGGGCCAGTGCAAAATGAAAATACGAGACCCCTTGTTCAAAAATTATTATGAATTTCAAGACAGTTACAGCAGAGCATTAAACCAAGCACAAGGCCCTTCTAAGAGTGGGGCCCTGTGCGACTAGATGAAGCCAGCCCTGCTTAGGAAGGATAGCTTGGAAATCCCAGAGCCCGCAGGGGTTTTGTCAAGATGCGGAGCCTCCTGCCAGAGTCTCTTGGGTGAGACACACATAGGTAGATGGAGGCAGGCCTAAAGTTTGGGTACCACCATGAGGTGTCTGAGCTCTGGTCCCGGCCAAGCCTGCTCTGTCCCCACTACAGTTATCACTCTGTGCTGTGTCTTCAATTGCCGCGTGCCACGGACCCGGAAGGAGATTGAAGCCCGGTACCTGCAGCGAAAGGCAGCCAAGATGTACACGGACAAACTGGAGACTGTGCCACCCCTCAGTGAGCTCACAGAAATCCCTGGAGGTGAGAAGGTCCAGGCCCCCAGCCCCGCCACCATCCGACCCTGCTGAGCCAGCCAGTTCCTCAGCCCTGCTGCCCAGAGTCGTTCTTCCCCGCCCCCCGCAGCAGGTTCAGAGGGGACCCAGCCCTGTCCCTGGAGATGAGAGCACAGAAATGGGTCAGAGAGAGGCAAGTCAAACAAGGAGCTATGCTGCAGATAGAAAAGGTTTGGAAGGAAGTGAAGGGCTGACGTGCGAGGCTCTGGTGCAAGCCCAAGGACCCTGTCTCACTCCTGCCACATGCCTCTTTCCTCTCCCCTACAGAGGATAAGAAGAAGAAGAAGAAGGACAGTGTGGACACAGTGGCCATCAAGGTAGAGGAGGATGAGAAGAACGAGGCCAAGAAGAAGAAAGGAAAGAAATGAGGAGCGCTTCCTGGAGGTGGCATGCAGGGCTGGCAGGCCCCGGGGCTCAAGTCCTGGCCGGGATCCAGGCCCCTTAGACTCCCAGCTCATACATGGACCATAGAGGTTGCAGAACATTGTCTCCCTGCTCAGAGGGGGAGCTGAGGCCCATGGCCACGTCCTTACGGCCCATCAGGGGCAGGGACAAGACTACACCAGATGTCCGGCCTCCCAGCCTGGACTCCGCTGTTTTCACCCCATCCACACGGCCACTCAGCAACACTGGTCTTGGGCCACTGTCTGCAGATCCAGAGCAGCCTCACACCCACCCACCCAGACATGCCTCTGCCCCACCCCTTCTGCCAGAAACAGCAGTGGCTAAAGGAGTAATGGGATGTGGGTTCCCTTCTGGAGGGGGATGGCTGAACTGGATGAGCTGGGGTGTGAGGCCACACCCAGGCTGGCCACGAGGAGGGAGAGGGTCACTTGGGGGAGTTGTGGCAGCAGGAGGTTCCTGGACTTGGCTAGAGAGCAGCCCTGGTGGCGAGGGGACTGCTCCAAGCCTGGCAGGGGTTCTAGCCCAGGGAGGTGAGCAGAGGTGGCCCAGAAGCAGGGGAACCCCCAACCCAGCAGATACCAAGCTCCAGGCAATGGGTGCACTTGCTTTACACATTGTATGGATCTGAGGCTGCGGGGGCGGGGGGGGGGACCTCGCATGAGGCCTAGGGGCTCAGGGCTGGGGGCTGCAGGGGTGGGTCAGCATGCAGAGGGTGAGGCCAACAGGCCAGAGGAAGAAAGGAGGAAAGCTGGGCCCTGGGCCCCTTCTGGAGAATCCAGGGAATATCTGAGAAGCCAAGAGGTACCTTGGGCTGCTCTAGTGGCCCTTCCTATGCTCAGCTGTTGGAGGAGGGGGGTGGGAGTCTCAGGGCCCTAGGGCGTCACTGCAGGGGAGCTAGGGGTTGAGGTAGCAACCAGCCTTCCACCTGCTCAATATAACAGCAGGCAGCTCCTCTTCCACCATTGTCAACTGTGGCGCCTAAGAGAAGCAAGGCTGAGAGAAGGCAAAGGCCCAAATGCCACCTGGGGACTGCATCCTTGGAGAAGGGAGACACAGAGGGGTTTCCAGATGGCAGTGAACGTCAGCTGAAGTGCCCAGACCTGGGTCTGGTGACTGAGGAGACACCAGAGAAGGTTTCCGAGCCATGGGAGCTGCTGGAAAAGCTCACGCTGCCTCTGCAGCCTGCAGAGATGTGTAAATAAAGCTGAGTGCCTGCTCACACCTGAATGACCTGAGATGACCTCAGCCTGCCCCCTCCCTGCAGCATTTATGTGGACAGTGATGCACCAATCGGTGACACGTGGTGCAGGCCAGGCTGAAGTTCCCTCCCTGACTTTTCTCCCAGCCTGAATTAGGATGAGCTGGAGGGAGAGACAGTGGCCAAGAGGCTGAGGGGCAGCTACAGCTGGGGCAGGCCAGCTGGGCCTAGGCCTGCTGCTCTCCACTCCCCTCCACCCCACCCCCTGGCTTTCAATAGGCCTTCAACGGTGGGAGTCCGGTGCCGAGGACACAGATCATCATTATACAAGGACGAGGATCCATGCTGACATGGGGGAAGGAACACAGGGTCTTGGAGCAGCGAGGCGGGGAGAGACTACAGAAGGCCCTGCTGTGGAAGCTGAGTACTCACTCTGCCACCAGGTGGGAACAGTTGGCTGACCTTTGCCCTCAGGGTCCAACCTATGGGCTTCTCATATATAAAGTTATGGCAAGGTCATTCTACCCATACAGGCCAGAGCCCTCGTGTGGCCGGGCAGCAGAAGCCCAGAGGGGCAGGGGCCACCTGAAGTCAAACAGAGAGTCAGCTGGTAAAGCCTGAGGGAGTCCAGGCCCCGTTTCCATCTGCCCTGCCAGGTGCCTCCCTGACCCCTGGACCTGGGCCTCCACTAACCCTGTATGGAGAGGCATGGTTGCTGATGGTGGGGATAATTTCTAATCCTGGTGGGCACCTGTCTCAGTCCCCAGGGTCAAAATTCACTGCAGTGCTTCAGGGCAATGACAGTGTGCTCTAGCTACTGTCCGGAAAGGCCAGAGTCAAGGAGAGCCTGACTCCCACTAAAGTATCACAGAAAGGACACCTCCCGGCCCAGACCAAGCTGCACCCTCCCCCCAGCCTCAGGCTGAGTCCAGCAGCCCCAGCTTCAGCGTGGGCAGAAGCTGTTCTGGGCCCTCCATCATCTGACCCCAATATCATCCCTTCACACTCCCTCCATCTTCCTTGGGAGCCACCCCAAACCTCTGGATGGAGGCAGACCCTGGGGCTCTGCACTTCCCACTATAAACTGCCCTGAGTTCCCCATCCCACCCCGTCTGGTTCACTCATCTCCCACTCAAGCAGCCCAGGGAGCAAGGGGCCTCCAAGGCCCAGGAAGGAGGAGGCGTGGGGAAGAGAAGTGTTTAATTAAGCACCCAGGCTCTGCCCTGCCTTGCGGGGCTGTGAGAGCTGTGTCTGCAGCATTCCGGGCCGGAGGGTAAGGAGTGGCCTGGGCAAGGGAGGGCGCCCCCAGGGACGGCACTAGAGTGTCAGAGGGCAGCAAGGAGGCTGAGGGGCAGTGGCAGCACCAGGAGCAGGGCCCTGGCTGGAGCTGGCCGAGCCTGCCGGTTGAGGCGCTCCCAGATCCAGTGCTGGTAGGAGGAGATATGCAGGTAGATGGGCGGGGGCTGGCTCTTCTTGCAGCCGGGGCCCCAGCTCACCATCCCCACCAGGTACCACGTGCTCTCCACAGGACAGACCAAGGGCTCACCACTTGTCTCCTGTGGGAGGGGGAGGGGAACGAAAACATGTGGCCCCAGGGAGATGGAACCCCGCTCAGGGACAAGCAGAGTGCCCTCACACCAGATCTTCTCCACAGCCCCCGAGGGTCAAAAAGCTGAGAGGTGCCCTCAAGGTCTAGACCCAGGAGACCTTCCTCAGAGTGCTTCATCCCCCGTCTCTCTCATGCCAATCCTCCATCCCTCATTTCTTTAACACCCACTCTCCCTCTTCCCACCATCCCCCATCCTTCTCTCTCAACTCCAACCTCCATCCCCACTCCCCATCTCTCTCACCCAACCCCATCTCTTTCCTCCATCTCATCTCTCCTCCCCATCTTCCCATCTTCCCCCTCATCACCCCTGCTTGTCCCTCCCCATTCTCATCCTCCTCTCCCTCCTCCCCCTCCCTATCCCTTCAGGTCCTGCCTGCCCTGTGCCCTGAGCCCCACTCCTGGCCAGGTGCCCATGGAGGTGAGTGAGCAAGGGGGAGAGGTGCTCACATAGCAGAACTCCTCCCTGTCCAAGTCCTCCGCACAAATCATCTTGGAGGTGACGATCCGAACCAGAGAGGGGATTTTGGAGAGCCTGTGATAGACGTGGTCACACTCCGTGCTGTTCAGGATGGTGACTTCCTTCTCCTGAATGGTCCGGAACTGGGGCCATCCACCTGGGGCACAGGGGACCCTGTTCCGGCTTGGCAGTTTTGCTGCCACCCACTGCTACCAGCTTTGTCTCTGTCCTCCCTTTTCTCCTTGTCACTCCTCCAGCCTCTTCTACTTGCCACACAGCAGCCCTGGAGATCTCTCCAGGCTCAGATCACCCACCACTCCAGGTGACACTTCCCAAGAGCCCCTCAATCTAGAAACCTAGGAGCAAGCTGCCCACCATCAGGCCTTGCTGGGCCTGGTCTCACTTCCTGTAGAGTCTAGCCCACAAGTCCATCCTCCTTCAGCATCTTGGCTTTCGTCCTTCCTTCTATCCCGAATCCTGCCAAGCCGCTCTCGGGTCCAAATCCCTCCTTTTCTTCAAGTCCTCCCCACAGGCCTCTTCCTCCCCTGAGCTTGCTGGACTCCCCTCCGTGGGTCCCAGGCACTGCTTACTCCCCTCCTCCCTCTCATCAGTGTGTCTGTCCCTAGCCTGAGCTCCTGGGGCACAGAAGACTTCCAACTGTTCCCAGCCATTCCCCAGACAGGCCATGACAGGGAAGTCAAAAGGCCACCCTCCCACCCCCCTGGGGCTGGAGCCCTGTGGGCTGTTTTTAGACAAGTTGGCTCTATGAGGCCACAGGGAGAGGCACCTCTCTCGTGGGGAAGGGACAGGGGCTCCCTGAGGAAGTGGACATTCCTGGCTCCTGAGGAAATGGACCCTTGGATGGGCCTGGGACAATACTCCTAAATTGGGATGACAAGGGATTGAGGGCCACTGCGGGGAGAGGGGAGCCATGAGTTGACCCAGAGTGACTCCCAACCTCTGGGTGCAGACTGCCCTTAGCCAGCCATGTGGGGGTCTTCTGGGGAACTTTTTATAGACACAACCCTGCTCTTCTCACCTCTGATGTTCTGCTTCAAGTCGTGGATGCCCTGAGATTGTGTGCAGACAGCCAGATATTACTGTATGCCCCCTCTGCCTTGAAAGACGTCCTCTTCACATGCCCTGGCCTGGGCCTGAGGGTTCATGGGTAATCTAGGTCCCCTAAGGCCTGAATGGCCAGGATGCGCTCACTGCTGAGACCCTCAAGGGGAAGGAGACCCCAGAGATTAGAGCCCAACAGGAAGGTCCAGGGGCAGCGGGCTCCCTGGGAAACGTGTCTGAGAAACATCTGTCCACGGCAGACCCCAGCCTGCACCTGGTCCTCTCCTATACCACCCACCCCGGCCCTGGGAGGCTCTGACTCACCATCAGCCCTGGGGAGGCCCCAGCCCGTCACAGTGCAGAGGGAGTGGTCCTTCACTGCATAGTCCAAGCCAGGCAGGCAGATGGGCCAGACGTACTTGTTGTACTTGAGTGCCCACTCAAGCCTGAGGAGGGCAATGTTGTTGGCCTGGCCGATCCAGGACCAGTACCGACGAGTCCGGAACTTGCTGTTCACGATGACCTGGCTTGCCGGGACGTCAGAACTAGTCTGCGCTGTCTGGTCAATCCATGGGCTCCCCACCCGCACTGAATAGATAACGTCCCGCCTAAGGGAACCGCAAGAGGAGTCTGCCATCAGCTCCCGGCACCCCACCCCAGTCTCCATCCCCTGCCTTCCACCCCACTGTGGCACTTGGAGCAAATCCAGAGAGGCCACCCACCTGCTTCAAGCCCCCTGAGCCCACTCGTCACAACAGATGTGAACAGGGCCCCGCACACACTGTGTGCTCCAGTACTCACAACAACCCTGCATGTTAAGGAGGAGGAAACAGAGAAGCCCAGTGACCAGCTCAAGGCTGCACAGCTAGAAAGTGGTGGAATGGAGACGTGGACCCAGTTCTCTCTGGTTCCAAACTCTGGACTCTGTCCAGTGCCCGGCACTGGGCCCTGGAAGTGACAGAGGCTCTGTGCAATCCGCCATGGCCTCACCTTCCAGCTTCCTTTCCCAGCAAGCCCCTGGAATCTCTATGTCGGCCCTGAGGCTTGGAGCACACTTTTCCCCTGGTTAGCCCTCACGGCCAGCACAGATGTTACTCTCGGGCTGATCCTCTGGCCCCGGAACCTGGACATGCCCTCTCCCTTGTCCCCACACTGACCAGGCTCCCCTATGAGCATCTATCTTCTTGTCTGTCTTCCCCAGCAACCTGAGAGAAGGGATATGTCCCTTCTCTGCCCCCAGTGCCCAGTCAGGGCCTGGCTTCAGAGGAGTTTCAAAGGCTGTTGGTTGAACGAAGGAAGGAACGAGTAAGTGAAGCAAAGGGTGCGGAATGAAAGAATTAGGACCTTCTTTCCGTGGCTAGGAGGAAGGAGGCCTGAACAATGGCTTCCAAGCCTCCATTTCCTATCCATGGAATGAGTGCACAGGACTGAGGGGCCAGGTGAGGGAGCAAGCTCCTGCTCCCGGAAAGAATCTGCAGGACTCAGCCCCCATCTGCTTGGAGCTGGGGTGAGGCTGGGCTGGGACTGTGGGGTTCCGCAGAAGGCACAGCTGCTGCTGATGGGCCAGCTGGCAGGATGACTGGGCCCCCAGTGGCTCCAAAGGCCTTTCTGCCCACCCACCGAGGCCCCGACTCACTGGATCAGGCAGTGGGCCACGGTCAGCACCCACTGGGAGGCAATAAGGGTGCCTGCACAGATGTGTGTGCCATTGGCCCGCACACTGACCATCCACGGCCACCGCCGAGCCATGGCCTCTGGGTCCCTGAGGGTGGGGTCCTGCTCGTAGGAGAAGCCGCAGGCTGAGGAGGAAGGCGAGAGCTTGATGAGGGACCGGCCCTTCCAGCCACACCCCATGACACCATTCCCTCCCCTCCCCTCAGCTTTTACCTCTCCCGCCGCTGGCCCGCACACATCCAATGATTCTCCTTTCACCGGTCATCACATACTGATGCTGTCCCCTTGTGGACTGGGGTGTCCAGCCTCAGAAGGGCCTCAGTGCCCTCCAGGTATCCCTCTCCCTGTTCCCTATAGCCCAGGCCCCAGAGTACACCCAGCTGACCAGCCTGGTGTACCACTGGCCCCTTTGTCCTGGCTGAGCAGCCCCTCAGTGCTGGCCAGACCCTTCACGAACTCATCCGTGTTTCCATCTGGTTCCCCTACTTAGCCAAGGCAGACCCCCTCTCCCTACTCTGGGAACTCCCTCCTGTGATTCAGTGAGAGAAAGGCAGTGACCCAAGAAAAAAATGGGCAATGTGCATGAACAGACGCATCCCGAGGTGGAAACAGCAGCAAATGGTCACAGAAGCTGCCCAGGCCCATTAGTCCTCAGGGAAGTGCAGCCTGAAGTAGCAGTGAGGTTCCACTCCACAACACCTGCCTGCCAAGCAAACTAAAGGTCCCTGATGCCAGGAGTTGGTGAGGATTATTGCCCAGACCACTCACTCACTGGGAGCCTGGGGCAGGGCAGTCAGGGCAGGGCAGGCAGGGCAGGGCCCAGGGCCCAGGGCCCAGTGGAGAGGCCAATGGCCCCAGAGCCAGTTCAGGGAAGTGGGAATATGCAGCCACCGACCCACCCCCCAGGATGGGAGGCCTGGCCCACAACAGGTGCTCAGTAAACACTCCCTGCCCCTTTCTCCTCTGTCCCTTCTGTTTGTTTTTGTGAGGATGATCGGTCCTGAGCTAACATCTATCACTCCTCCTCTTTTTGCTGAGAAAGACTGGCCCTGGGCTAACATCCGTGCCCATCTTCCTCTATTTTATATGGGACGCCGCCACAGCATGGCTTGACAAGTGGTGCGTCTGTGCGTGCCCGGGATCCGAACCTGAGAACCCCGGGCCACCGAAGCCGAGGGTGTGAACTTAACCGCTCTGCGGGCCAGCCCCT